CCATTCCCAGTCTTAGTCTGCAGACCAGAGAACCCCTACAGTCAGAAACTCTACATCAAATAAACTCTRAGTATGAGAAACAGTCATCACACAATATGGTTACATTGGAATATTTTTGCTGTTTAATAACAGACAAAGTGGATATTTTATTTTGGAATCAAAGTGCTGTTATGTGGATTTATGGTTTATAACATTGGCAGTGTTTCTGAGTACTTTCTTTTCCAAAGTATATAAATATAAAGTGGTAAAAGTTTTGTTTTTAGCTTATAAATGTAGTTAATAATCTGTTCAAACAATAAAAAAATTCTATTTATTAATGACCAAGAAATGTTTGGGGGAGTTAYTTTTCAGAGGAGAATCTTTTAAACCAACTGGATGAAATGAATAGACAGTGAATATCACAATGGTTTGGGGGGAGTTCATGACACACCAGTTGATCATGTGCAACTTCAGTTATTAATCCATTAAAGTCATTACTGCTGCCAAGTCTTACTTAAAGGTCACAGTCTTTTTTAAGGATTTTGTTAATGAGGAAAAGARCTATTCCTGTTTGATCCCTCCAGTGTGTGCAGGCTGTGCTCTCACTGACTGGTGTGGATGTTCTGTGCTTGGAATTTGCAGCGCTGAGCAGTGGGTGGGCAGTAACGTGCGAGAGCTCTTGTGGGCTGCAGGAGGATTTATATTGATCCTCCTCTTCTGACATCCTGGGTTTTATCGTGGTTACAATATAGGCAAACACATCAGGCAATTAGACATGTRAAGACATGGTTCTGCTTGATTATTTGACTTCCTGCAACTAATAATGAGCTTTTTGAAAGATTTAGTGCAATTGCCATTGAATATAAAAGAAGTTTGGAAGCCTGTATGTGCAATGGAGTTAGGTGTGGTAGGTTAAGTTTGTCCTGGCATCCTTATTGAAGCTTCCCTGTAGGCACTATCAGCTGTAATCAGCGCTGATGCCAGAAATAACATTGCAGTGTCAAAAACATGGGTGTTTTAAGGGTATAGCCAGGGGACTTGAAGTGTTCACTTGTTTGTTTAACTTTAAATTAATAAAGACCCACAGGATTCTTTTCCTTTCCTGGGTTGTTGAATCCTGTCATTTTATTTCTTTTTAATATTTTTCAGAAAAACTGATGGTGTTCAAATTACAGTGAAAATACCTACTTACAGGCAGAATAATGRCCTAAAAGGAAATAAAGTACTAGCAGGATTTGGAGGAGAGAAAGAATACCTAAGATATAATTTAGCTGTTGCATCAGTCAGTGTATGCCTACACCTTGAACAATATGTTACCTTTCAGTTGCTAAAATTTCATCTTCTGGTTTTTTTTGGGGTTTTTTTTGGGTTTTTTTTTTGGTTTTTTTTTTAATGATAATTACTAGAAATGATCAGCAACAGTTCTAAATTATGCCCAGGCAATGGCCGTAAGATACTATAATAATGATTCCTACCATATGAGTGAATTTTGATTCTCAGAAAGATATAGGGTATACAAATTGAAATTCCTGGAAGAGTCTGGTTCATCCTATTGTTTGCTAATAAGGCTGTGGCTGTGAGGGTAAAGCAAGTTAAAATCAGCACATACTTGACCTCTGTGGCCTCTTGACCCTAATTTCTCCTGCATTCAGAGGCTGGCTCCTGGGCCCAGGTGCTGGACACTCTTCAGTGAATGGCTGACCCTGAGATCAGAATGKGACAATGTTGCTCTGAAGGAGTATCAGAATAAATCTAAAATCAGTAACCCCTATGATAAATACTTTAAAGGGTTGCCCTACTGAAATCCTCAGTATATTCTTCACATGGTAGTTAAACCATCAGCTGTAACTGTACTAAGAATTAAGAATATATTTTCTATAACATTTAATATCCTAATTATGTATATTCCCTTTAAGAAAAACACTTCTGGTTATTTCCAAAAAACCAGACTTAGAGTGACCAATCCTACACAGGGRCCAATATGTTTCTTGAAAATTTATAATGATGGCATTAATAATCAGATTATTAGAAGTGTAAATTATTAGAGCTATAAAGCTTGCAACTTTAATTTGTGTTGCTTACTTACTATGTTTCTGCTTTTGAACCAATTTGAATGCAACAGTCTGTTTTGGTAGTTTTAGACCACTTCTGCRTGCAGGTTTCTGTACACATTACTCTGCCACATTGCCTGCCTTACAAATATTASTCATAATTCTTTCAATGTCTTTCCTTCAGAACATGGAAATTAGCACTAAAGCCTTAGGTTTAGCTTTAGAAAAGGCTTTTTTTCAGTCTAAAGGAATCTTATGGTGTCACTTTCAATCTCTCCTGTGAAAGTTAAATTTTTTTCTCTTGCTTCCTTTTATGTTCAAAAACTTGAATAATTTATTACTGCAAAGGAATGTGTACCGAATCCAGTAACCAACAGAGGATGTGGAAAGATTTATTGGGAGARACATTAAGAGCATTCCTGGCCAGGTGTATTTTATTTCTTTTTGTGAAATGGAAAAAAAGAAAACTACTATACACCTCCAGCCAACTSCAGATATGGCTGGAAGCCCATTTGGAAGAGTGTCTGTAATTGTGAAGTGCTTCTTGAGATAAACCRAACAAAAAGCGATGAAGGGCACAAGGAGATTTGGCATTGCTGAATAGCAAAAAATGTGTGGCTCAATTTTGAAAGCAACTRCAGTGTTTGCTGTCTGAGTGGGTGTGCGCACGACTTCCGCTCTCCTTGTGCTTTTTCCAGCAGTTTATAGCCATGGGAAATGAGGGAGTGAATGCCCTACTGAACCACAGTAGTGGATTCTGAAGTTTGCCTTTGTACTCGTGGTCCATGACAGAAGGTCCTGAAGGAGCAGGACCTCAATACACTTCTGCACCTCTTTGCTTAACTGATAGAAGGTGTTACTCAATGAACAGCAAGGCAAAAAAACATGATTTTTTTTCTACCACAGTTTTTTGGAACTCTAATAAATAATTTTACTGCATTTTGGAATATATAACATGAATTTGTGAGGAGTGTGATCTTTTGYGAGGTTACAAATTGTAATTTACTTACTTGATTTAGGACAAAAATTCTAGTCAAATAGAAAAATCTTTTTTTTCAGGAATGATAAAAGAATCAGTTATAAACTAAATTTCTAATTCAATCCTGTTAACTCTCTGGCATGTTTCATTTCATTTACATAAATAACAAGGTTAATAAGAGCATTATCATAGAATCATAGAATAGTTTGGTTTGGAAAGGTCCTTTAAAGGTTAGTTGCCTACTCCAACCCCMAGCAGTAAACAGGGACATCCTCAACTAGATCAGGTTGCTCAGAGCCCTGTCCAACCYGACCTTGAATGTTTTGAGGRATGGGGCATCTACTGCCTCCATGAGAAACCTGTTCCATTATTTTACCACCCCATCACAAAAACTTTCTTCTCYATATGTAGTCTGAATTGACTCTCTTTTAGTTTAAAACCATCACCCCTTGTTCTGTTGCCACAGGCCCTACTAAAAGGTCTGACCCCCTCTTTCYTGTAGGCCCTCTTTAYATGCTGAAAGGCTGCAATAGAGTCACCAGAGCCTTCCCTTCTCCAAGMAGAACAATTCCAACCCCTTCAGGCTTTCTTCATAGGAGAGGTGCACCAACCCTCTCATCATTTTTTATGGCTCTCCTCTGGACCTGTTTCCACACTGGAAAAGTTCCAGGGACACCTCTTCCCTTTCAGCTTTTACTTCAATTGCAACTCTGCAGYTCCCTCTCTGCTAGCTTCCCTTCAGCAGTTGCCTTATTTATTAAAAAGCAGGTTTTGATGTTGTGTTTTTGTATAAACTGTAGAAATGGTTTCTTCTTTGTCCATTAGTCCAGGTTTCTTAAATCTTCTTTACAAACAAATTCTTCCTTCATGCAGCATCTTAAAAAAGAGGTGAAAATATGTGGAATCAAACTGTTCCATCCTTCTGCCCCAGACAGGAAGCTCTATCTCTATCCCATTTTACATGGATGTGAGTCTCATGTTACAGGACCCTCATGATGAGTTTCCTTGATCTGTCCAATTATCTGTTCCATTGTATGCTAGTCCTTATATAAAAAACCTTATATATAAAACCTATTGCTTGTCCTTATATATAAAACCTATTGCTTCCATCATGGAATAAATGGATGGATAAAATCTATTATTTTGGAGAAGAGCTCTTGATTTCTCTTTGTAGATTCTCCCTACCCTAGAGTTTTGAGACCTTTCCTTTTCTCTGTTGCTTCACAGAAATKGTTCTCTCCTATTTCTCTCTCCAGGGATGTCTCCATGCCTGGCTACACCTATTGCTATTTTCCCAGGGCACAAATGGAAATCTTACTGGTAGCAAAAGGCCAACCTTTTATAGTCCCTACAATTAAGAAAACTTTGTAATTAAACAAAAGACTCTTTCAAATGTGAGCTGGAGTGCTCATTTAGAAGCACGGAATCAATGTCTCATTTTATTACTGTTTCCTGTGTTGGTTTCTTTACTTGCCTGTTAAAACCAGACTACTTTTTAAAGTTATTTGGTGTAAAGATCAGCCTAAACCAGTGAAGTCCCAGTGCTAAAATGCCTTTGTGAATTGAGGTAGTTGGTAGACTACACATGGGATTAARTAGGTGCTTAAAGTTGCAGGTTTTTAAGTATGCTACTCCATTAAATCCTGTATTTTTTTTCCCCATGTTTTCAACGCCAATTTTTTTTGCTGCCTTTTAGATGRTAAAATTTAATAAGGAAGCCAGTGACAGAATCAAGTTTTTTGGTGGCCTCTGAGTAGCTAGCATTCTAGCAGTCTTGCGTCAATGAGATTGGAGAAAATGGTTATTACTATGACATTATGCTTCCTTAAAATAAAAGTTTTAGAAGTTCTTCTTCTAATATAGAGCTTTGTTTCTTCAACAACAATATGGTAATTTGGCATACTTAAAAATTGATTTAAAATATTTRCTTTTTCCACTTTTGTAAATATATTGTTTTCCCTACTCCCTCTTTTTTTTTCTTTTTGTTCCAGGACCCKTTGCTGCTTCAGGAGACAGTAAATTCTGCTGCTGCTCTTATCATGGCATTAATAAAGGACAGAAACCCGGAGCTGATTGGCCAGCTTTTGGTAGCATAAGACCATAAATCATGTATAGCTTTTGGAAATGTTAGTTTTTCATCTTCTGTTCACCAAAGGTCTTAAGCCATTTTATTTTTTGATGAAGACTCTGTATTTATGCCATTTATTATTAAGATCCTTTAACAGCATATTTTTGATATTTAAAATACAAATCTAATATTATGTATAAAGTGTAAAAGGAAATACAAATAATTCTGAAATACACTGGGTATATTTGTGAGGAATTATACTGGAATGTTTTTTAAAGTATGATAATTTTAAAAGGTGCACAGAGGACTCCAAAGCATTCATGCAGAATTTTAACCATGTGTGTGTGTTGTACTCTAGGACTGCATGACTTAAATTTTATTTCAGATAAATTAATCCTAAAGCACAGCTCMTCTACTTTATGTGAAATTATTTAAAAATTGCTGCTGTAATACTCATTAGTGAATATAGAGTTCATTACAKATTGTAGCTTTCCTGACATCAAGAGAAATGCATATTGCAGGAAATGTTGGAAAGGTCAGGGACCTGTTCTCCATGGAATGAAAATAATCTCAAATCAAAGGAAATATTTGCATAGGTACAAGGTGCTAACCCCCAGTTCTGCAGATGCAGTATGCTCTGGCTGTAGCCTCCTTGGTGCTACATTTCTTCCAGTGCCTGTGTGCCATCATTCAGAATTAGTTCCTGCAGTTCCACTGAAATTGGAAGAGTCTGTTAATTCATGTATGAGAATCCAGTTCTCATTTCTTGCTGCTTAGCAGRTGTATGTAGTCAATAGTGGCAAGGAGACCAAGCATTATGAATTCAAAGATACACTACACTGATAGTCAGGCGTGGACAATTGGGCCAGGAAGGTGAAATGGTGAATGATTATTATGTGGAGTATCTCCAGGTATCACAGCCACTAAGAGGAACACAAGCAGAGTCCCTGCAAACATGTCTTGCCYTATGCATCAGACGCAGAAATTGCATCTGTTCTGCAATTTGTGAAGGGGCTAAGTTAATGTCTTACATACCTGCTATGGCTGGAATAAGGTCTTGGAGAAGTGTGCCGACCAGAAGTGTCAGTGAGTCCAGTGGGTCTGTCAGTTCAGCAAGTTTCCYTCTAAAAATAGTGTTCCTCCCCTTACTCCCATCATGTTCCTCTCCCTCTGGTGCTCAGACAAAACTTAGGACAAAAGCTCCATGCTTGGTCCCCTTCCTCCTTCCCTTCACATGACTATGTGTATCTCTGGTTTAAATCCTTTTTGGAAGTTGACCTTGGTCCCAAACTTCCTTCATTCCATAATAAAATAGAGTTGTTAGCTGATGGTTCTATGTCCAAAGCAGATATTTTCTTCCACACACAAGTCATGCAAAGATAACTAACAAAGTTCTTGTTCATCATCTGCTTTCTTCTTTGCTTCTTTCTKCTCTCTACTTTGATTAATAATTTGTCCTTTTCTGACATTGTACAACATAAGCATTCATATTAGCTCTGTGTATGGCTATACAATAGGCGTATTTTATTCATACATATATTCATGTCAGTTCATATGCAGAGTATGCAAATAAATGAAGAACTAAAGAATTTATTACTGGTATTCATAATTTAACAGGACAGCTCTCACAAATAAGTTTTCTGAATGTACTTTTACATTAATAAATTTGATGATGGAATTCATCCCACAGGCTTTTAAAAGAGATGATGAAAGATGTTTCTTTGAGTGTATTTTGTTATTCTTGTTTGCTTGAAGATCAAAATGCAATCTGTGGTGTGTTTCTCCCAAATAATAAGGTGAATTTAGAAAATCCTATATGTTTTCTATCCACTCTAATTTATACACTGTGATACACCCTTACAATTGGTTTGTGTGTAACATCATTTGCTTAAACAGGCCTGTTATTTTTTAGGGTTGTTTTACTTATTTCATTCTCCTAAGAGGATTTCAATTCATTTAAAAATGATACTTCAACAAACTGCTGTAATTAAAAATATTTTAGTTGTTTATGGACTTATTTTGAAAAGAGAAMAGACAAGGCACAGCAAGAAGTAAGTTTTGGGTCATCCAATATACTTAGTGCTAATCCTAAATGGAAGATAATAAGTTTTATTAATGTGCTGTTAATCAWTGCATTATGGCTTTTTAATCTTTTGCAATCTTTTAAAATAATCTACAAACACTGAAAACTCCATTTTGCTGGAAGCAAATACACCAACAACAGAACTACTAAAACAGATCACAAAATACTAAAACTGCAGTAAAAAAAAAAAAANAAAAAAAAAAAAAGAAACAAAAAAAGAAACTGGGCTGTGATTAATGCTATTGTATATCCAAACCAAATTTAAATTGTTTTTTTGGGTGATTGTTAGTGCTTACAATGGGAATAAAGATATAAAATGAAATTAAGAAASTGGCTGATTGTTTTCTGTCTGTGCATAGCTTCTCACAAATAGCAGTATACATGAGAAACTTGGCAGCCTTTTGTACACACATGCTGTTTTGAATTTAACTAGTGARTCAGTCACCACCCATATAGCTTTGAACATTTGGACAGAGATAACAGAAAGTAAATAAAAGCTCAGACTCTGCCAGCCTTGCTTACCTTAMTCCTCAAGCACTCTAATTAGTATTCCTTGGGTAGTGTTCATCAGAAAAGAGAATGCAGAATGTAGCCCTARAAATGCTTTTCATAACTGCAAAGTTGAGAGAATTAGATTTGTATACTGAAACTAACCCACTTCATGCAAAATCGGAAATCAAATTGTTTGCCTTCAATCAGTTAGGTAGAAGATTTTCTAGTTAGTATTTTTTTTCTTTAGCTTTTCAGATGACCTATCTTAAAAAAAAAGGGTTGATGGTCCTCTAAAGAAGAAAGAAATGAAAAGGATAGAAGATGGTGGTATTATAAACAGAAAAACCCCAACTGTCCCAAAGCTGTAGCAAAAATCAAAGAGAAAGTGAGAAGTTACCTATTGTAATCAGTGGCAAAATAGTCAACTTTAGTTGAGCTCATCTTGATAATTAGTGTAGGCTGCAGAACAAAACCTTTTCTGGATGCCATGGAGCCTTTGGTGTATTCAAATTTGTATTTCTATATGACACCAAACTCTCATCGTCTCCACAGTGGTGTTCCAGGTGCCATGCAAAGAGAAGCATCCAAACGTAAGGTTTCCAATTAGTGCTTGGCAATTCTGAGGATACAGCAACTTTTCCTGTCTGTGGGTCATTCCACCAGAMAAGCATCATACTTTGGTTGCTCTGTTCTCCTTGCCTTGGGCACTTGCCACTTCTCACTTTTTGTTTGGGTTTTATTTCTGATAAAGAGCACATTCACTTTGAGACATGCAAAAGCTTTCTTATTTTATATCTCCTTCCTTTATATCTCCTTCATCCATAACTTCGATCTGAAAAATTTCTAATTCATTTTACCAAGCATCCACCAATGTGCAGATAATCCCTTCATTCCTGTTGAAGAAGGTTTGGGGGGGGGTCACATTAACAGTGTTCCTGTAGGTCAGAGTTTGGGGCAAGACCTACCTTTGTCCTGGCCCAGTGTGACTACTCTGATGAGTGGGGCATATAAATGGCTGGTAGTTGTAAAAACTGTGCTATGGGACAAATTGAACCCATCAGATTATTAGTGCTGATTTCTGATTACTCTCTCAGGTCTATATGCCAGATGCACTAATCTTATTCCTGTCTGACTGGAACAGCTTCCCTGCCTCCCCCCAATATTTTGCTAATTGCATTGATTAATTTAGATRTTTACTAGATGGTCAATTTTTCTCTTTGTGTAGAGAATGATGGAATGGTATTTGGAGGACTTTTAGTAAAATCACAACTAGTTCTCACTGAAACAGGGAGAGCTGCTGAGACTTTAAAAAAAGAGCAATACCAYCAGGGTCTTCCATTGGTAAAATCTGTTATGAATTTTTAAGGTATAAATATATATCTTTGTGTTATAGAAATGTAACATGAAAAGAAGTTCAGCTGTAACTACAGTTGTACTTAAGGCCAATCTTATGGAGCTGAATTCTGAGACTTAAGAAACTGCTTTCATTATTCCTGCCCAACTCAATCAATCCAATCTTTTCAGGTGATTTTGATTAATTTATAATGGCACAAGTTCAATGACTAATACCCTGCTCTGGTGATTACAATGAGATACCAAATGCAAAGTGTTCAAATCTTTGTACCCCAATGCCTGTACTTTCAGCTTCAGCCTGGTAATTTTTTGTGACATCTGTCTGCCTCAGCCCATTCCCCAGAATTCAGTTTATCTTGTGCTTCTGGCAAGCACCAAGGAAAGGAAGCAGTCACCAACGCTGCATTTTTTCCTGGTGTAGGTTGATTTTGATTGACAGGGCTGTAAAGCACTTGTTAAATATACATTTTCTTTCATTATTTCTTCCAGGAATACTCAATTAGTTTAGATATGTAAAAAACACACTTTCAGCACCTGTGCTGAAGAAAGTCCCAGCTGTGAAAATGCTTTTGCCGTAGAATAAAGTCACCTGCCTTGCATACATCAACCCRGGAAGCAAAGTGGCATTTCTTAATATATTTATTCCAAGGTTAATTTAAGCATGTGTTCAATCTTTAGATTGAAATGGATCTTGCCCTTCATCCTGCACCTATTYCTGTTTCAGAAACTAAAATTATAATTCAGTTAAAATGCCACAACACTGAATTATAACATAGTTACAAAGATAAATGAGAGAGTAAGACACTTGGACAAACAAGCTAAAAGGGATGTGAATTTAAATAGCATAGAGAAGCAAGAAGGCAAGAGAGAATATAGCAGAGCTGCACCAGATGGCAAAACCTGCAGAGGAGACCCCTTGAATGGCATGGTAGGCTAAGGGCTGCAGGCAGGAATGATTCCAGGTTCAGTAGCATTTCMGATGCAGCTCAATAAGGCATTTCCCTACTCAGCAGCCATTTTAGATAATCGTCTCCCTTGGTTAGTTGTTTGTTGTTACTTCTGCACCTCTTTCATTACTCTGCCCCCTTCCTTTTGTTTTCATGCCTCAGACTGGACACTTTAGATTTCATATTTGCTTTTCACTTCAGCCATTCCTGTCTTCTCCTGTGCTCTTTTCTCATCCTTCCCCCTACTTCTGTCGCTTATTCTTTCTCTCCACATTTGTCACTCTTTTTCCATTCCTCCCAGCCCACCATCGTCGAAGGAGACAATCCCCCCTCCTTTCCCAGGCCGTGGTCTGGCATCAGAAACCCTTCCTCGCTCCTGGATCGAGAACTGAGGCGTTTGGGCTTTGGCACCTCGGCGCTGCTCACAGCTGGGACCCGAAACAGATGTCACTTCCGCTGCCAGCTGCCGCCAGATGAGCAGCAGCTGCCCGAAGGGACAGACCTCCTGCATGGCAGCTGCTGGGATGACACCAATGCCGCCTGYTAGCTGGAGTCAAGCTGGAAGCAGAGCCATCCCGCTGAGGGGGAAACAATCCGCCCCAAGGTCAGCCCCCCCTTTCCCTGCTTCAGTAGCCAAACTCGGGTTTGTGAAGTCAGCGCCTAGTCGAGGAGCCAGATTTGCAAATCGGTCAGAATGGAAGCAGCAACAAAAAAAAAAAAAAAAAAAAAAAAAAGCCAAATCCAGGTATGGCTTTAAGTCCTGGTGCCTGGAAAAAGTATGTTTTCACTTAGTAACCAGTGGCTTTGCCAGGAATTGCTCACAGACAAAAAGCAAGGAACCCCACGATGCTGTGTTAAGCAGTTCCTTTCCACAGCAGACATGGCCTCATTGAAGCCCCATGAAGTCAACGGGGCTGAAATTTCCGTGCCGTGCACTCAGGAATGCATGGCATCTCCTCCCTCTGGCCATCCTCAGCTAACCCACACATCACCATGCTGGTTATGCTGGGGGCCTATTATTATCATCATCATTAGTTTTATTGTGCTGCACTTCTAAGTGTGTATTTATGCTGTGCTCAACTCCCTTGCCATTTGGTAGGGAGTATTATGGTCTTGATTAATTAAACTTAATTCCAGCTCTGTTTTGGAATTTAGTTGTGATTCCAGCTTAAGCACCCACAGGCCTGTGGGACATGGGGTTATAGGGGCACTTCTGAAGGGCACTTCAGAATTGATTTCTCTTTGAATACTCACTCTGAACCCCGTGGCAGTAGAGTAAGCCTAAAAGAATGATTTCATGCAGGC